GCACTCACACGCACTCGCACGTACACGCACTCGCACTCACATGCACTCACACTCATACTCACTCGCACTCACATGCACTCGTACGCACTCGCTCTCACACGCGCTCGCACTCACACGCGCTCGCACTCACACGCACTCGCACTCACACGCACTCGCACTCACACGCACTCGCACTCACACGCACTCGCACTCACACGCACTCGCTTTCACACGCACTCACACTCACACGCACTCGCACTCACACGCACTCGCATGTACACGCACTCGCACGTACACGCACTCGCACTCACACGCACTCACACGCACTCGCACTCACACGCACTCGCACTCATACGCACTCGCACTCACACGCACTCGCACTCATACGCACTCGTACTCCCACGCACTCGCACTCACACACTCTCACACTCACACACTCTCACACGCACTCGCACTCACACGCACTCGCACTCACACGCACTCGCACTCACACGCACTCGCATGTACATGCACTCGCACATACACGCACTTGCACTCACACGTACTCGTAGGGATGAGCAAGGTGGCGAACACCTGTTCGGTTCGCCTCGAACACGTTCGAGGCGAACCGAACAGGTTTTGTTTTTTTAGCTCAAATCGTTCGCCGAACAGTGTTCGATGTTCGCCCGAACACGTTCGTGTTCGGGCCGCTGCTGAAATTTGCCCGCGACGAACACGAACAGTGTTCGAGGTTCGCCCGAACACGCCTCCACAGACGAACAGCGAACACCTGTTTTTTCCTAAACTGTTCGCCGAACCGAACAGTGTTCGGTTCGGCAAAAGAGGGTGTTCGACAAGGGGCGAAGACGAACATGTTCTTGTTCGCCCTTTGCTCATCCCTATGTACTCGCACTCACACGCACTCACACGCACTCGCACTCACACGCACTCGCACTCACACGCAATCACACGCACTCGCACTCACACGCACTCGCACTCACGCGCACTCGCACTCACACGCACTCGCTCTCACACGCACTCGCACTCGCACGCACTCGCACTCACACGCACTCGCACTCACACGCACTCCCACTCACACGCACTCGCACTCACACGCTCTCACACTCACACACACTCGCACTCACACGCACTCGCACTCACACGCACTCGCACTCACACGCACTCGCATGTACACGCACTCGCACGTACACGCACTCGCACTCACACGCACTCACACGCACTCGCACTCACACGCACTCGCACTCATACGCACTCGCACTCACACGCACTCGCACTCTCACGCGCTCACACTCAGATGCACTCACACTCACATGCACTCGCACTCACACGCACTCGCACTCACACGCACTCGCACTCACACGCACTCGCACGTACACGCACTTGCACTCACATGCACTCACACTCATACGCACTCGCTCTCACACGCACTCGTACGCCCTCGCACTCACACGCGCTCGCACTCACACGCACTCGCACTCACACGCACTCGCACTCACATGCACTCGCACTCACACGCACTCGCACTCACACGCACTCGCACTCACACGCACTCGTACTCACACGCACTCGCACTCACACGCACTCGCACTCACACGCACTCGCGTACACACACTCGCACTCACACGCACTCGCACTCACACGCACTCGCACTCACACGCACTCGCACTCACATGCACTTGCACTCACACGCACTCGCACTCACACGCACTCGCACGCACTCGCACTCGCACGCACTGGCACTCGCACGCACTCGCACTCGCACGCACTCGCACTCACACGCACTCGCACTCACACGCTCTCACACTCACATGCACTCGCACTCACACGCACTCGCATGTACACGCACTCGCACGTACACGGTACACGCACTCGCACTCACACGCAATCACACGCACTCGCACTCACACGCACTCGCACTCATACGCACTCGCACTCACACGCACTCGCACTCACACGCACTCGCACTCGCACGCACTCGCACTCGCACGCACTCGCACTCGCACGCACTCGCACTCACACGCACTCGCACTCACACGCATTCGCACTCACACGCACTCGCACTCGCACGCACTCGCACTCGCACGCACTCGCACTCGCACGCACTCGCACTCGCACGCACTCGCACTCACACGCACTCGCACTCACACGCACTCGCACTCACACGCACTCGCACTCACACGCTCTCACACTCTCACGCACTCGCACTCACACGCACTCGCATGTACACGGTACACACACTCGCACTCACACGCACTTGCACTCACACGCACTCGCACTCACACGCACTCGCACTCACATGCACTCGCACTCACACGCACTCTCACTCACACGCACTCACACGCACTCGCACTCACACGCACTCGCATGTACACGCACTCGCACGTACACGCACTCGCACTCACACGCAATCACACGCACTCGCACTCACACGCACTCGCACTCACACGCACTCGCACTCGCACACACTCGCACTCTCACGCGCTCACACTCAGACGCACTCGCACTCACATGCACTCGCACTCACACGCACTCGCACTCACACGCTCTCACACTCACACACACTCGCACTTACACGCACTCGCACTCACACGAACTCGCACTCACGCACACTCGCACTTACACGCACTCGCACGTACACGCACTCGCACGTACACGCACTCGCACTCACACGCAATCACACTCACACGCACTCGCACTCACACGCACTCGCACTCACACGCACTCGCACTCACACGCACTTGCACGCACTCTCACTCACACGCACTCACACGCACTCGCACTCACACGTGCTCACACTCACACGCACTCACACTCACACGCACTCGCACTCACACGCACTCGCACTCACACGCACTCGCACTCACACGCACTCGCACTCACACGCACTTGCACGTACACGCACTCGCAATCACACGCACTCACACTCACACACACTCGCACTCACACGCACTCGCATGCACTCGCACTCACACGCACTCGCACTCACACGCACTCACACTCGCTCTCACTCGCACTCCCACGCACTCGCACTCACAGGCACTCACAATCACACGCACTTGTTGTAATTTCATATTTCATACAACATACATAGGCTAGAAGTGTAGCACATTTATAAATTGGGGGGTTGCTTAGTGTACCCTCCAACCATATTTTGTGGTTGGTTAGGATTGGTCCTTAGCTCAACCAATCCCAACCAACACACATTTGTGGTTGCTTGGGTCACAAGCAAGCTCACCCATTGGCCAACTTATTGGCCAATAGGGTAAGCTTCCCTCTCATCCTTCTCTTCCTCATTGTTTGTACTAAAGAGCCTCTTGGCTCATTATTCAATGTATCAATTCTCTCTCTTCTAACATGGTATCATGAGCTAATGGCTCACGCCTACCTCCCTCGGTCCTTAGGCCACCCTCTCCTCCCCGTTCCTCAGATCTAGCCCCACCCTCAGATCTAGGGCCACCCTCTCCTCCCTTCACGCGCCCTTTAGGCGCTGTCCTCCCTCCCCGTGCGCCCCCTAAGGCGCTGCCCTCCAAGGCACGTCCAGATCTGCAACTCCAGCGCCCAGATCTGCACTCCCCGCGCTCAGATCTGCAACTCCAGCGCCCAGATCTGCACTCCCCGCGCTCAGATCTGCAACTCCAGCGCCCAGATCTGCACTCCCTGCGACCAGATCTACTCCTCCCGCGCCTAGATCTGATCATTCCGCGCCCAGATCTGGATTCCGCGCCACCAGATCTCCTCCTCCCGCGCCCAGATCTGAACATTTCGCACCCAGATCTGCACTTCGCCCGCCCAGATCTGCACTCCGCCCGCCCAGATCTGCACTCCGCCCGCCCAGATCTGCACTCCGCCCGCCCAGATCTGCACTCCGCCCGCCCAGATCTGCACTCCGCCCGCCCAGATCCGCCCTCCGCGCGCTCAGATCTGCACTCCGCGCGACCAGATCTGCACTCCGCGCAACCAGATCTGCCCTCCGTGCGACCAGATCTGCCCTCCGCGCGACCAGATCTGCCCTCCGCGCGACCAGATCTGCACCTCCCGCGCTGAAATCTGACCATTTCGCGCCCATCTCTGCACGTCCCGCTCGTTTGCCGCGGGCTGTCCCGCGTGCATTCGCCACGGGCTTCCCAGTCGCGCGGATCTGCCGCACGGCTGCCCTCTTCGTCCCCTCCCCCCCCCCCTCTCTCCCTTCCTCCTCCCATTGTACCCGCAGCAGCATCATCAGCGGCACCTCACCGGCACCACCAGCAGCACCCTTCCCCCTTGCCTCCCCCATAGCATCGCCCTCCTCCTCCACCCTCCTCCTCCTCCCATCCTACCTGCAGCAGCACCAGGAGCAGCACCTGCAGCGGCACCACCAGCAGCACCCTTCCCCCTTGCCTCCCCCATAGCATCGCCCTCCTCCTCCACCCTCCTCCTCCTCCCATCCTACCTGCAGCAGCACCTGCAGCGGCACCACCAGCAGCACCCTTCCCCCTTGCCTCCCCCATAGCATCGCCCTCCTCCTCCACCCTCCTCCTCCTCCCATCCTACCTGCAGCAGCACCAGCAGCAGCACCTGCAGCGGCACCACCAGCAGCACCCTTCCCCCTTGCCTCCCCCATAGCATCGCCCTCCTCCTCCACCCTCCTCCTCCTCCCATCCTACCTGCAGCAGCACCAGCAGCAGCACCTGCAGCGGCACCACCAGCAGCACCCTTCCCCTTTGCCTCCCCCATAGCATCGCCCTCCTCCTCCACCCTCCTCCTCCTCCCATCCTACCTGCGGCAGCACCAGCAGCAGCACCTGCAGCGGCACCACCAGCAGCACCCTTCCGCCTTGCATCCCCCATAGCATCGTCCTCCTCCTCCTCCACCTTCCCCACCCTCCACTCCTCCCTTCCTCCTCCCATCCTACCCGCAGCAGCATCCGCAGCGGCACCAGCTGCAGAACCAGCAGCGGCACGGGCAGCAGGGCCAGCAGCAGCATTGGCAACAGTACCCTCGCACCATCCTCCTCCTGCCCTAGCCTCTACCCACCCTCATCTATGGCATCGTCGTCCGATTCTTCCGTCGACCTTGCCACTGTTGACGCACTCGAGTTGCTGCCTGACAACTCTGCTGCTAATTGGCACTCTTATGCTCATTCCGTTGAGGTGCTCCTCTCCTCTGTTGTGGTCAGCGGCTACAACCTTCGCTCGGTTGTCTTTCAGGAAGGCGGTGGACTTCAGCCCGTGGCCCCCACCGCTCCTACTGGACCTGCCCCCGCCCACCCTGGCGCCGAGCCCTCTCCCCCCAGTGATCCTCCCACCTTCGCGCCGAATGTCAACGACCCGCAGAGCTCGGAAACCGCCATTCGCACCTACCGCACCAATCTCCAAGAGCACCTGCGCCTGCAATTGCGTTACGAGGACGACAGGCGCATCTATGACGACGCCGCTGCCCGCTACAACAAGTACCAGGAGGACCTGGACACCTACACTGCAGAACTTGCAGACTACACCACGAAAATTAATGCCTGGCGGGTTGCTGATCGGCGTGCGCTTGCCATTCTTCTCGCCACCATCCCCTCCTCTCTCAAACGCGAGCTCACCTTTCTCCTCCTCCCACCTGTGGCGACTGCTAGTCGACCTTTTCGATCGGCAGGACGTTGCCACTCTTTACGCCCTTATCAAGGAGTTTGGAACTCTCTCCATGGATTCCACTTCTGGCGCAGCTGCTTTCACTCGCCGTGTCTTAGACCTTGCTCGGCGCCTTGCAACACTCGATGTGGTGTACCCGGACACCGTCATCTGCTGCCACCTCCTCGAGGGCCTCACACCTGCCTTCGACGCTCACAAGCTTGCTTACATGCAGCTTATCTCCAAGCACCACACCCCTGCCGAAGTCGCTCAATGGATTATCACCACCGAAGCTGAGATCCTTCGCCACTCTTCCTCCACAGCCGCAGCAGCCCAGTCGCGCAGCAGCCGGGGTGGACGTGGCGGTGGGCGTGGGGGTGGGCGTGGTGGTGGGCGTGGGGGTGGACGAGGGGGATCAGCAGGTCGCGGTGGTGCTGGCAGCAGTGGTGCGGGTCGTGGTACGGCAGCTGTCTTTCCTCCCTGTCAGTACCTGCCTCGCTACGGTCCCACTCAGGGACAGTGCTGCGGCCAAACCACCCATGCCACTGAGACGTGCTTCAAGGCACTCAGTGATGAGTGGTTTGCCCGTGGCAACACCGGCACCCCTCCTCGCTGGTCCGCCCTCAACCCTCGCCCCACTCCCCTTGAGGTCCGTTCCTCTCCCCTTTATGAACCTCCCTCCTCCACCCACGCCCACCAGGCCCTCGCCCCTCCCCATCAGCAGCACCAGCAGCAGCAACAGCAGCAGCAGCTTGGGAATCAGCAGCAGGGGTCACAGCAGTATGGGCAGCAGCTTCTCCTCTCTCAGCTCCAGCAGCAGCTCCAGCATCTCCAGCAGCAGCTCGACCTCCAGCCGCAACTGCCCCTCCTCCCTCCTCCGGTTTCCCAGCAGCAGCCCTTTCCTACCTGGACTGGTGGGAGTGCTGCCTCTGCAGCCCATCTCTCGGGTGCGTCCCCGGCGCCGTCTGCAGGTGGCAGTGTGACCGCTTTCCCTTCCTCTGGTTTTGTTGGCTTATTAGGTCAACCTGAATCTGTTGCATCTCCCATGTATCCTTCTTCTGCTAATGAAACTTCGTTCCAGTACTCTGCCTCACCTTCCTCCACCATTGACTTCGTTCTAGACAGTGGAGCCACTGACACTGTCCTTCGCGACGCTGGTACACTGCGCCCTCTCCCCACACCAACCTCCCTCCTCGGCGCTGATAGCAGTTTTTCCATCCCTTGTCACAACACCTCCACCCTTCCCTGTCCTCTCTTTCCCTCAGGTACTGTCACCGGTCTCCACATTCCCTCCCTTCGTACTAACCTCCTCTCCCAAAGGTCCCTCCAACAAGCCATGATCACCACTCTCATCCCAAGTGGTGCTAACCATTGTGACCTATACCAAACCTCCACAGGTCGTTTTCTCGCCCGTATTCCCTATTGTCCTCGCTCCCGTCTGTACACCCTTCGGGTTCCTCGCCCCTTCACCTTCCAAGTTGCCTCCCCCCCCCCTCCTTCCCCCCCCCCCCTCCCCTCCCTCCCACTAACCCACCCCTCCCCCCCCCGCCCTCCTGACTCTGACTGTTCCTGTCGCTCCCTCTCCCACCCCACCATCCTCCTCCATCACAAGCTAGGCCACCCCAACTTCGCTACTCTGCGCTCCTCTGTCTCCTCCGGTCTCCTCCACGGTCTCCCTTCCTCCCTCCCTCCCCTCCCCAAATCCCCTGCCCCCCCCTGCACCGTCTGCGTTCAGAGCAAGCTCAAGCAGCAGCCGCACCGGAGCTCCCCCTCCGCTGCTGCGCAGCCACTTGATCTTGTTCACATGGACCTATGGGGCCCACTCGCCAGGGCCATCGCTACCTTCTCGTGCTTGTTGATGATCACAGTCGGTACTCGTCCGTCTCTCTCCTTCGGACGAAGGCGGATGCCCCGGCTGCGATCATCGCCTGGCTCGAGCGGGCAAACACCCATTTTGGGCGCCCTGTTCGCCGCCTTCACTCTGATGGAGGTGGTGAGTTCCTTAACAACCAAGTCTCCTCCCATTGTCAGTCTCGTGGCATCCTTCAGACTTACACCCTCCCTCACTCCCCACAGCAGAACGGCGTGGCTGAGAGTCGTGTTCGAGAGATCACCAAAACAGCCCGGTGTCTGCTTGTCCACGCCTCCTGCCCCCCTTCTCTTTGGGGCTACGCCCTCCTTCATGCCGCCCTCCTTACTAACCTTTACCCTCACCCCCTTCTCCCCTCCATCACCCCCACTGAGCTGTGGACGAAGGACAAGCCTGATGCCTCATCACTTCGTGTCTGGGGCTCTAAGGCACATGTCCTCATTCACCCCTCTGACCGCTCCCGTTCCATGGGAAAGCTTGCCCCTCGTACCCTTCCCTGCATCTTCCTTGGTCATAATCCCTCCTCCCCTGACTACCTTTTCCTCCACCCACCATCCGGTCGTCTAATCCGCAGCCGGGATGTGGTCTTTGACGAGTCCACTCCCTACTACTCCTCTCCCACATCTACTGACCCACTCCCCCCTCTCACCCGTCCCCTTGTCTGGTCTGACACCACCCCTCCCCCACTACTCCCTCCTCCCCCCATCCTCCCACCCCCCCCTTCTCCGCCGTCCCAGTCCCATGGTGCCCCTCCCTCTTCTGGTGACATCTTTGACCCGGAACCTCTGTCTTCTCCTGTCTCCCCCGCTCACTCCTCTCCTAGTACCCCTCCCCCCCCCCCTTCCTCTCCCTCGCCACCAACCCGTCCTCCCCCTTCCCGCACCATACTCACCCGGTATCACCACACCAGGTCACGTGAGGGTATCCTTGGTGCACCGCCTCCCGTTACCCTCTCTACCTCTACCCTCCCCCCTCTCTCCCCCCTCCTCCGTCACTTCTTCCAGGCTGTCTTGCATCAAGCCCCTCATGCACCAGCCCCCTCAGCCACCTCCTCTCCAGCAGCGGCACCAGCAGCGGGACCAGCAGCGGCAGCAGCAGCAGCGCCAGCAGCCGCAGCAGCAGCAGGACCAGCAGCGGCAGCAGCAGCGGGAGCGGCATCGGCAGCAGCAGCGGGACCAGCAGCGGCACCAGCAGCGGCACCAGCAGCAGCACCAGCAACAGTACCAGCAACAGTACCAGCAGCGGCACCAGCAACGGCACCAGCAGCGGCACCAGCAGCAGTACCAGCAGCGGCACCGGCAACGCCTCCACCAGCAGCACCAGCAGCGACACCAGCAGTCATCCGCGCCTTCCACACCTCCCTCTCTGAGGACTCCCATGAAGAGTTCCTTGACCTCCACCTTTATGACCCCTCACTTCTACCCATCACGTTCGACCTCTCTGGCACACCTGTCTTCGCCTTCTCCTCTGCTCCCTCCATTTTCGTTCCTACCACGTACGAGGAGGCAATGGCGCGCCCTGACGCTCCGCTATGGCTCGCCGCCATCATCAAGGAGCTGGAGGCCTTTATCGGCAACTCCTCTTTTGTCGATGTGCCTCGCCCTCCCGCCCCTACGAACTTGGTGAAAGGAAAGTGGGTGTTTCGCGTCAAGCAGCTGCCAGGGGAGCCGCCCGTTTATAAGGCTCGTTACTGCGCCAAGGGGTTCACGCAGCGGTATGGTCTTGACTTCTTCGATACCTTCTCCCCTACTGCCAAGCCTGCTACTGTTCGCGCCGCGCTCGACCTCGCCGCTCGCCTCAATATGGAGATCCACTCGATGGACGTTTCTAACGCCTTCCTACAAGGCGTCCTCCGCGAGCTTATCTACATGGAGCGTCCAGCCGGCTTTCACCTCCCCTTCCCAGCAGACTCTGTCTGGCAGCTGCGTCGACCGGTGTATGGGCTCCGACAGGCCCCGAGGGAGTGGCATGCTAAACTTGCCGCCACCCTTGCTGAACTTGGGTTCCGCACCTCCCGCTCTGACGCCAGCCTCTTCCTCCGCACCTCCCCCTCCCCATTTTACATCCTTGTGTATGTCGATGACATGATTCTGCTCACTGCCGACCTTGGAGAGTTGGAGCATGTTAAGGCTGAGTTGGGCACCCATCTCAAGTGCAAAGACTTGGGAGAGCTGCAGCATTATCTGGGCATGACCATCACCCGTGACCGCTCCGCCCGCACCATCTCACTCTCCCAGGGTCATTACTTGCAGCAGGTCTTGGAGCGGTTTGACATGGCCCGCGGCGGCGCCCAACATACACCTCTTTCTGTCGGGCACCACCTCTCTCCACCCACCTCCCCCTCAGCCTCCTCCCATCCTTATCCCGAGCTCATCGGCTCCCTCATGTACGCCATGGTCTCCACTCGCCCTGACCTTGCCTACCCCATCAGCGTCCTCGCTCGTTTTGTTGGCGCAGGCAAGCATACGGAAGAGCACTGGCAGGCCGGCAAGCGTGTCCTCCGGTACCTTCGTGGCACCAAGGACTATGTCCTTACCCTTGGCGGCCCCTCCCCACCTCTTCTCAGCGGCTACAGTGACTCCTCCTGGGCTGATTCCCGGCCAGATCATCGCTCCTCCCAGGGCTATGGCTTCTCTCTTGGCAGTGGCCTTATCAGCTGGCGCTCCACCCGCTCCTCGGCTGCAGCCCTCTCCTCCTGCGAGGCGGAATTGTATGCCGCCACCATGGCTGCGCAAGAGGCCCGCTGGCTCACCTTCCTTCTTGAGGAACTTGGTGCCCCCCAGCGCTGTCCCACAATTTGGTGTGACAATGCTAGTACCATTCACCTCACCAAAGATGCTGTGTTTCACGGGCGCTCCAAGCACATTGAGCTCCGTCATTTCTTCATTCGCGATCTTGTTCAGGCGGGGCACCTTCGCCTCGACAAGGTTGACTCGACGGCCAACCTTGCCGACATCTTCACAAAAGCTCTTCCTCATGCCGCTCACTCTTTCCTACTTCGTCTTCTTGGCCTCACTCCTCCTAAGTCGCCTCCCACCTCTTGATTCTAGCCTTCTAGCCTTATGCATGTTGGGGGGTTGTGTTGTAATTTCATATTTCATACAACATACATAGGCTAGAAGTGTAGCACATTTATAAATTGGGGGGTTGCTTAGTGTACCCTCCAACCATATTTTGTGGTTGGTTAGGATTGGTCCTTAGCTCAACCAATCCCAACCAACACACATTTGTGGTTGCTTGGGTCACAAGCAAGCTCACCCATTGGCCAACTTATTGGCCAATAGGGTAAGCTTCCCTCTCATCTCTCTCTTGCTCATTGTTTGTACTAAAGAGCCTCTTGGCTCATTATTCGATGTATCAATTCTCTCTCTTCTAATAGCACTCCCACTCACACGCACTCACACTCACACGCGCTCACACTCACGAGCACTCACACGCACTCGCACTCACACCCGCCCGCTCGCACTCACACGCACTTGCACTTACACGCTCTGGCACTCACACGCACTCACAATCACTCGCACTCGCACTCGCACGCACTTGCACTCGCACTCGCACACACTCGCCCTCACACGCACTTGCACTCACACGCACTCCCAGTCACACGCGCTCGCACTCTCACGCACTCCCACTCACTCGCACTCACACTCACATGCACTCGCACTTACACGCACTCACAATCACACGTACTCGCACTCGCACGCACTCGCATTTGCACTCGCACGCACTCGCACTCATACGCACTCGCACTCACACGCACTCCCACTCACACGCACTCGCACTCTCACGCACTCCCACTCACTCGCACTCACACTCACATGCACTTGCACTCCCACGTACTCGCACTCATACGCATTTGCACTCACACGCACTCGCACTCACACGCACTCCCACGCACACACACTCCCACTCACACGCACTCGCACTCACACGCACTCACACTTGCACTCCCACGCACTCACACGTACTCACACGCACTCACAATCACACGCACTCCCACTCACACGCACTCACACTCACACGCGCTCACACTCACACGCACTCACACTCACACGCACTCCCACTAACACGCACTCGCACTCGCATGCACTCGCACTCGCAGTCACTCACGCTCGCACTCACTCGCACTTACACGCACTCGCACTCACACGCACTCGCACTCGCACACACTCGCACTCACACGCACTCCCACTCACACGCATTCGCACTCACGCGCACTCGCACTCGCACTCACACGCACTCACTCGCACTCACACGCACTCTCACGTACACGCACTCGCACGTACACGCACTCGCACTCACACGCAATCACACTCACACGCACTCGCACTCACACGCACTCGCACTCACACGCACTCCCACTCACACGCACTCGCACTCGCACGCACTCGCACTCACACGCACTCCCACTCACACGCATTCGCACTCGCAGTCACTCACGCTCGCACTCACTCGCACTTACACGCACTCGCACTCACACGCACTCGTACTCGCACACACTCGCACTCACACGCACTCCCACTCACACGCATTCGCACTCACGCGCACTCGCACTCGCACTCACACGCACTCACTCGCACTCACACGCACTCTCACGTACACGCACTCGCACGTACACGCACTCGCACTCACACGCAATCACACTCACACGCACTCGCACTCACACGCACTCGCACTCACACGCACTCCCACTCACACGCACTCGCACTCGCACGCACTCGCACTCACACGCACTCCCACTCACACGCATTCGCACTCACGCGCATTCGCACTCACACGCACTCACTCGCACTCACACGCACTCGCACTCACACGCACTCGCACTCACACGCACTCGCACGTACACGCACTCGCTCTTGCACTCGCACTCACACGCAATCACACTCACACGCACTCGCACTCACACGCACTCGCACTCACACGCACTCGCACTCACACGCACTCGCACGCACTCGCACTCACGCGCACTCACACTCACACGTACTCTCACTCACATGCACCCTCACTCACACACAACCGCATTCGCACGCAGGGGTGGTTATATGGAGGAGTCGGAAGCTTAATAGAGTTGGATGACAGGAGATTTGTGAGCTACAGGACGAGAGCAGTCAAGTAGTGGAGCTTGGTTGGTGAGACTGAGGGGTTTATCAAGGTGGTGATGGATTAGGGCAGGCAAGAGTGTGTGCTTGCTTGTGGTTTCATCCATGCCATGCCACACCACCCATCCCACCCATACAATGTGTCTCCCCTCCATGCACCCTGCACGCGCCCCTCCATGCACCCTGCACGCGCCCCTCCATGCACCCTGCAAACCCTGCTCCAAATAGGGCAAGAGCATTCCCTTGCCCCCATCTCACCACTTCCACTCCCCCCCCCCCCCCCCCTCCGCACATGGCAGGCCATGGGGCGGGTGGGTGAGGGCGGGGTGGTGCTGCTGCCGCACACGCTGGTCGACACCCACGTGCGCTCCGACGCTGCCACGCTCACACCCCCCGCTGCTGCTGGCGGGGAGGGCAGCGGGGCGGGGGGGGGCTACGCGGTGTACGTGCTGAACCCGCGGGTGATGCCGCGGCGCTACGCGTACTCGTATGGCAGCCGGGGGGACACCGTGTGCCCGGGCACCTCCTTCCACGATGAGGTCACCTCCTGCGCTCATGCTTTGTGGCGCTGTGTGCCACCATCCATCGCTCGCTGCCCCCCGCTCGCTGCCCCTCGCTTGCTGCCCCTCGCTTGCTGCCCATCGCTCGCTGCCCCTCGCTCGCTGCCCCCCGCTCGCTTCCCCTCGCTTGCTGCCCCTCGCTTGCTGCCCATCGCTCGCTGCCCCTCGCTCGCTGCCCCCCGCTCGCTGCCCCTCGCTTGCTGCCCCTCGCTTGCTGCCCATCGCTTGCTGCCCATCGCTTGCTGCCCATCGCTTGCTGCCCATCGCTTGCTGCCCATCGCTTGCTGCCCCTCGCTTGCTGCCCCTCGCTCGCTGCCCCTCGCTCGCTGCCCCTGCCTGTGCTTGCACCTGCCTGTGCTTGCACCTGCCTGTGCTTGCACCTGCCTGTGCTTGCACCTGCCTGTGCTTGCACCTGCCTGTGCTTGCACCTGCCTGTGCTTGCACCTGCCTGTGCTTGCACCTGCCTGTGCTTGCACCTGCCTGTGCTTGCACCTGCCTGTGCTTGCACCTGCCTGTGCTTGCACCTGCCTGTGCTTGCACCTGGCCACTAGCCAGCTCTCACCATGGCTCACTTGCGTCTCTCCTCTCATGCACCGTCTCCCGACTCCTTTCTCCCCCTTCTCTTCTCCTCCCCTTCCGGCAGCGCTACGTGTGGGTGGATCTGACGGCGGGGCCGGTGAGCTATGGGCCGGCGTGGGGGGGGCAGGGGGGCGTCACGCCCGCCGCGTACCTGCGGGCAGAGCAATACAGCAAGGAGCTGCTGCACGGGGTGAGCACACATGGGAGATGGGCGAGCACGCGTGCATGTGTGAGATTGCTCGTGCTGCTCTCACGTCTGCCTGCCATCGCTGCATGCACCTCCTCCTCCCTCTGCACGCATCTGCTGCTCTCCCCCTCGCCCGCTCCCGAATTAACCCGATCGCCTCCCACCATGGCAGTGTGGGTCTTCCCAGTCATGCCCGCAAGCAGCCATTGGGAGGGCGGCAGCACTGCCACCCACTGCTTCACTCTCGTCCACTACCCCCTCCCTGCCCCTCCCTTCCCCTCCCCTGCCCTCCCCTCCCTTCCCCTCCCCTCCCCTCCCTTCCCCTCCCTGCCCCTCCCTTCCCCTCCCATCCCCTCCTCTCCCTTCCCCTCCCCTCCCCTCCCCTCCCCTCCCTTCCCCTCCCCTCCCCTCCCTTCCCCTCCCTGCCCCTCCCTTCCCTGTCCCCCCACCCTCCTCTCCCTTCCCATCCCTGCCCCTCTCCCACACGCCCTTCCCCTCCCCGCCCTCCTCTGCCCCCCCCACAGGCGTTCCTGGCGCACGTGGCAGTGCTGGTGGACAGTGCGGTGCGGCATGTGTTTGTGCCGCCGCTGCTGCATGCGCCCGTGGTGTACGCGGTGACCACCGACATCTGGGTCATCGCCATGCACAGTGGCGCTACCGGAGATGGCGGGCGTGCAGGCGATGAGGGCATGGGGCTGGACCTCAGCGCCATCAAGGACCAGGTGAGACCTCACCGCCATCAAGGACCAGGTGAGACCTCACCGCCATCAAGGACCAGGTGAGACCTCACCGCCATCAAGGACCAGGTGAGACCTCACCGCCATCAACCAGGTGAGCTCACCGACATCAAGACCAGGTGAGACCTCACCGCCATCAAGGACCAGGTGAGACCTCACCGCCATCAAGGACCAGGTGAGACCTCACCGCCATCAAGGACCAGGTGAGACCTCACCGCCATCAAGGACCAGGTGAGACCTCACCGCCATCAAGGACCAGGTGAGACCTCACCGCCATCAAGGACCAGGTGAGACCTCACCGCCATCAAGGACCAGGTGAGACCTCACCGCCATCAAGGACCAGGTGAGACCTCACCGCCATCAAGGACCAGGTGAGACCTCACCGCCATCAAGGACCAGGTGAGACCTCACCGCCATCAAGGACCAGGTGAGACCTCACCGCCATCAAGGACCAGGTGAGACCTCACCGCCATCAAGGACCAGGTGAGACCTCACCGCCATCAAGGACCAGGTGAGACCTCACCGCCATCAAGTGAGTGAGGCTATCCCTACTAGCCTAAGCTCTGCCATTAGGACAAGTTACCTGTTGGAGTAGGACGAGTCGCCTGCTGGATCCAGGTCGAAACTTTATACGTATGCTGGACCTCTCTCATTCATTCTGACCTTATCAAAATCCTGTGGCACCCTAGCCTGCAATGGTTGTGCTCACTTTGCTTCCCCATGGTCCCACCCCTCCAACCTCTCACAACTGCATCCTCACCCCCGTCACCCGCGCAGCTGCTAGCGCGCTCACCACCGGTGGTGCTGGGGGGGCAGCAGGTGCGCTTCAAGCAGGTCCACCTCTCCCTCGCCACCTGCTCCTTCTGCTCCACCGCTCTGCACCGCGCCATGCGGGTGCGCTCTTTAAAAATCCTGCTCCCTTTCCTCTCATGCCTCGCATCGCTGTTTGCTTCTCTCATCTGTTCCTCATCCACGCGCTGCTTGACCCTTAAAGCAAGGACAAGCATTTACCTTGGTTGCGCAAAGGATTATTTCGTGCCCGATATTGGACGGGCAAATGTGTTGTGTCAAGCTTACACACAGAGATTGGAGCACAAGAGGTGGAGGTGAAGCCGTACCCTGACTTCATCCTCTCCTCCTCTCCTCTCCTCGCCTCTTCCCTTCCCTTCTCTTCCCCCTTGCCACCCGCCACCCGCCACCCGCCACCCCGCCAGTCCGGCCTGTATGAGGCCTCCGCTGGTGCTGCTTCCAGCTCAGCAGCAGGCGTGCCAGGTGGCATGGAGGTGCGGCGCCACCTGGACTCGGAGGATCTGCACCGCCACCTGTCGGAGTTCTGGCCCGAGATCACTGGTGAGCCCCACCTCAACCATGCTGACTGCAGCTTCCTGCTTCACACATGCAATGCTGCTGTGCTGTGCTGTGCTGTGCTAACTCGCACCACCCCATGCCCTCCCCACCCCAACCACCGCTCGCAGAGCTAGCGGGGCTGCCACTGCCGGACTATGCGGAGCGCAACGACCCCAAGCCGCACGCGGGGCGCTTCTTCCCCGTCTTCCTCTTCGACCTGCACGCCCCGTACCCGCTGCTGCTCGATGGCCGCCACCGGGTAATGCCCATGGCACATGGAGGGCGGAGAGTGGGGGTGCAAAGGGGTACAAGGCGGGTGAAGGCATGCGGCAATCCCCTTGTGCAATGTGCAGCTTTGTTTATTAAAGTGCTGCATTCTCTCCTCTCTCTGCCCCCATGTTCTCTCGCCATGCTGCCACCGTGCTTGTCTCTCCTCCCTCCCCCCCACCTCACCCCCCATCAGGCGCTGGCATATGACGACATGGTGCTGGCTGTGCGCTCCACGGCCCCGCCGCTGCCCTCGCACTACATGTGAGGCGCACGAGGCCATAGGGGGCGTGGAGGGGCATGGGGGGCGCGGGTTGAGGGCGAGGGAAGGAGGGTGGATGGGAGGCGCAGGGGTTGACAGGAGGAGCGGGGGAAAGGAGGGAGAGCGAGGGGATGGGAGGTGTAGCAGATGGTCACAGTACCATGAATCTGACTTTCGTTGCTGCACCTTGTGTGACCTTCTCATTCCCCCTCTGCTGCCTGCCTCAAACGCCCTGCCTGTCTGCCCCTCCCGCTTTCTCCACCCCCAACCCCACCCCCCCCCCTTGTGTGTGCACCCAACCAGGTGCGAGGGCGAGGGGGTGGACATGGATCCCAGCAACGTCACGCGCCCCGTGCTCTCCGCCATCCTGCACACCGCCTGGGGCCTTGCCCCCACGTATGCCTCTTCCGCTGCTGCACCCCTGTTGCCCCCTTCTCGCGCCCTATCGCCCCCGGCTCGCCCCTGCTGCCGTCTGCTCGCCTCTGCCGTTGCCTGCTGCCCCCCGCTGCCCCCTGCTGCCGCCTGCTTTCGTCATGCACACGCCACCTTGTCTGCACATGCACATGCACGTGGAACATGCATGGCTGTTATGCATGCACGTTCATGGCTGTTATGCATGCACGTTCATGGCTGTTATGCATGCACGTTCATGGCTGTTATGCATGCACGTTCATGGCTGTTATGCATGCACGTTCATGGCTGTTATGCATGCACGTTCATGGCTGTGATGCATGCACGTTCATGGCTGTTATGCATGCACGTTCATGGCTGTTATGCATGCACGTTCATGGCTGTTATGCATGCACGTTCATGGCTGTTATGCATGCACGTTCATGGCTGTTATGCATGCACGTTCATGGCTGTTATGCATGCACGTTCATGGCTGTTATGCATGCACGTTCATGGCTGTTATGCATGCACGTTCATGGCTGTTATGCATGCACGTTCATGGCTGTTATGCATGCACGTTCATGGCTGTTATGCATGCACGTTCATGGCTGTTATGCATGCACGTTCATGGCTGTTATGCATGCACGTTCATGGCTGTAATGCATGCACGTTCATGGCTGTTATGCATGCACGTTCATGGCTGTGATGCATGCACGTTCATGGCTGTTATGCATGCACGTTCATGGCTGTTATGCATGCACGTTCATGGCTGTTATGCATGCACGTTCATGGCTGTTATGCATGCACGTTCATGGCTGTTATGCATGCACGTTCATGGCTGTTATGCATGCACGTTCATGGCTGTTATGCATGCACGTTCATGGCTGTTATGCATGCACGTTCATGGCTGTTATGCATGCACGTTCATGGCTGTTATGCATGCACGTTCATGGCTGTTATGCATGCACGTTCATGGCTGTTATGCATGCACGTTCATGGCTGTTATGCATGCACGTTCATGGCTGTGATGCATGCACGTTCATGGCTGTTATGCATGCACGTTCATGGCTGTTATGCATGCACGTTCATGGCTGTTATGCATGCACGTTCATGGCTGTTATGCATGCACGTTCATCGCTGTTATGCATGCACGTTCATGGCTGTTATGCATGCACGTTCATGTCTGTTATGCATGCACGTTCATGGCTGTTATGCATGCACGTTCATGGCTGTTATGCATGCACGTTCATGGCTGTTATGCATGCACGTTCATGGCTGTGATGCATGCACGTTCATGGCTGTTATGCATGCACGTTCATGGCTGTTATGCATGCACGTTCATGGCTGTTATGCATGCACGTTCATGGCTGTTATGCATGCACGTTCATGGCTGTTATGCATGCACGTTCATGTCTGTTATGCATGCACGTTCATGGCTGTTATGCATGCACGTTCATGGCTGTTATGCATGCACGTTCATGGCTGTTATGCATGCACGTTCATGGCTGTGATGCATGCACGTTCATGGCTGTTATGCATTCACGTTCATGGCTGTTATGCATGCACGTTCATGGCTGTTATGCATGCACGTTCATGGCTGTTATGCATGCACGTTCATGGCTGTGATGCATGCACGTTCATGGCTGTTATGCATGCACGTTCATGGCTGTTATGCATGCACGTTCATGGCTGTTATGCATGCACGTTCATGGCTGTTATGCATGCACGTTCATGGCTGTTATGCATGCACGTTCATGGCTGTTATGCATGCACGTTCATGGCTGTGATGCATGCACGTTCATGGCTGTTATGCATGCACGTTCATGGCTGTTATGCATGCACGTTCATGGCTGTTATGCATGCACGTTCATGGCTGTTATGCATGCACGTTCATGGCTGTGATGCATGCACGTTCATGGCTGTTATGCATGCACGTTCATGGCTGTTATGCATGCACGTTCATGGCTGTTATGCATGCACGTTCATGGCTGTTATGCATGCACGTTCATGGCTGTTATGCATGCACGTTCATGGCTGTTATGCATGCACGTTCATGGCTGTTATGCATGCACGTTCATGGCTGTTATGCATGCACGTTCATGTCTGTTATGCATGCACGTTCATGGCTGTTATGCATGCACGTTCATGGCTGTTATGCATGCACGTTCATGGCTGTTATGCATGCACGTTCATGGCTGTTATGCATGCAGTTCATGGCTGTTATGCATGCACGTTCATGTCTGTTATGCATGCACGTTCATGGCTGTTATGCATGCACGTTCATGGCTGTTATGCATGCAGTTCATGGCTGTTATGCATGCACGTTCATGGCTGTTATGCATGCACGTTCATGGCTGTTATGCATGCACGTTCATGGCTGTGATGCATGCACGTTCATGGCTGTTATGCATGCACGCTCATGGCTGTTATGCATGCACGTTCATGGCTGTGATGCATGCACGTTCATGGCTGTGATGCATGCACGTTCATGGCTGTTATGCATGCACGTTCATGGCTGTTATGCATGCACGTTCATGTCTGTTATGCATGCACGTTCATGGTTGTTATGCATGCACGTTCATGGCTGTTATGCATGCACGTTCATGGCTGTTATGCATGCACGTTCATGGCTGTTATGCGTGCACGTTCATGTCTGTTATGCATGCACGTTCATGGCTGTTATGCATGCACGTTCATGGCTGTTATGCATGCACGTTCATGGCTGTTATGCATGCACGTTCATGGCTGTTATGCATGCACATTCATGGCTGTTATGCATGCACGTTCATGGCTGTTATGCATGCACATTCATGGCTGTTATGCATGCACGTTCATGGCTGTTATGCATGCACGTTCATGGCTGTTATGCATGCACGCTCATGGCTGTTATGCATGCACGTTCATGGCTGTTATGCATGCACGTTCATGGCTGTTATGCATGCACGTTCATGGCTGTTATGCATGCACGTTCATGGCTGTTATGCATGCACGTTCATGGCTGTTATGCATGCACGTTCATGGCTGTTATGCATGCACGTTCATGGCTGTTATGCATGCACGTTCATGGCTGTTATGCATGCACGTTCATGGCTGTTATGCATGCACGTTCATGGCTGTTATGCATGCACGTTCATGGCTGTTATGCATGCACGTTCATGGCTGTTATGCATGCACGTTCATGGCTGTTATGCATGCACGTTCATGGCTGTTATGCATGCACGTTCATGGCTGTTATGCATGCACGTTCATGTCTGTTATGCATGCACGTTCATGGCTGTGATGCATGCACGTTCATGGCTGTTATGCATGCACGTTCATGGCTGTTATGCATGCACGTTCATGGCTGTTATGCATGCACGTTCATGTCTGTTATGCATGCACGTTCATGGCTGTTATGCATGCACGTTCATGGCTGTTATGCATGCACGTTCATGGCTGTTATGCATGCACGTTCATGTCTGTTATGCATGCACGTTCATGGCTGTTATGCATGCACGTTCATGGCTGTTATGCATGCACGTTCATGGCTGTTATGCATGCACGTTCATGGCTGTTATGCATGCACGTTCATGTCTGTTATGCATGCACGTTCATGGCTGTTATGCATGCACGTTCATGGCTGTTATGCATGCACGTTCATGGCTGTTATGCATGCACGTTCATGGCTGTTATGCATGCACGTTCATGGCTGTTATGCATGCACGTTCATGGCTGTTATGCATGCACATTCATGGCTGTTATGCATGCACGTTCATGGCTGTTATGCATGCACGCTCATGGCTGTTATGCATGCACGCTCATGGCTGTTATGCATGCACGTTCATGGCTGTTATGCATGCACGTTCATGGCTGTTATGCATGCACGTTCATGGCTGTTATGCATGCACGTTCATGGCTGTTATGCATGCACGTTCATGGCTGTTATGCATGCACGTTCATGGCTGTTATGCATGCACGTTCATGGCTGTTATGCATGCACGTTCATGGCTGTTATGCATGCACGTTCATGGCTGTTATGCATGCACGTTCATGGCTGTTATGCATGCACGTTCATGGCTGTTATGCATGCACGTTCATGTCTGTTATGCATGCACGTTCATGGCTGTGATGCATGCACGTTCATGGCTGTTATGCATGCACGTTCATGGCTGTTATGCATGCACGTTCATGGCTGTTATGCATGCACGTTCATGTCTGTTATGCATGCACGTTCATGGCTGTTATGCATGCACGTTCATGGCTGTTATGCATGCACGTTCATGGCTGTTATGCATGCACGTTCATGGCTGTTATGCATGCACGTTCATGGCTGTTATGCATGCACGTTCATGGCTGTTATGCATGCACGTTCATGTCTGTTATGCATGCACGTTCATGGCTGTGATGCATGCACGTTCATGGCTGTTATGCATGCACGTTCATGGCTGTTATGCATGCACGTTCATGGCTGTTATGCATGCACGTTCATGTCTGTTATGCATGCACGTTCATGGCTGTTATGCATGCACGTTCATGTCTGTTATGCATGCACGTTCATGGCTGTTATGCATGCACGTTCATGGCTGTTATGCATGCACGTTCATGGCTGTTATGCATGCACGTTCATGGCTGTTATGCATGCACGTTCATGTCTGTTATGCATGCACGTTCATGGCTGTTATGCATGCACGTTCATGTCTGTTATGCATGCACGTTCATGGCTGTTATGCATGCACGTTCATGTCTGTTATGCATGCACGTTCATGGCTGTTATGCATGCACGTTCATGGCTGTTATGCATGCACGTTCATGGCTGTTATGCATGCACGTTCATGGCTGTTATGCATGCACGTTCATGTCTGTTATGCATGCACGTTCATGGCTGTTATGCATGCACGTTCATGGCTGTTATGCATGCACGTTCATGGCTGTTATGCATGCACGTTCATGGCTGTTATGCATGCACGTTCATGGCTGTTATGCATGCACGTTCATGGCTGTTATGCATGCACGTTCATGGCTGTTATGCATGCACGTTCATGGCTGTGATGCATGCACGTTCATGGCTGTTATGCATGCACGTTCATGTCTGTTATGCATGCACGTTCATGTCTGTTATGCATGCACGTTCATGGCTGTGATGCATGCACGTTCATGTCTCGCCATCCTGCACGTTCATGTCTCGCCATCCTGCACGTTCATGTCTCGCCATCCTGCACGTTCATGTCTCGCCATCCTGCACGTTCATGTCTCGCCATCCTGCACGTTCATGTCTCGCCATCATGCACGTTCATGTCTCGCCATCCTGCACGTTCATGTCTCGCCATCCTGCACGTTCATGTCTCGCCATCCTGCACGTTCATGTCTCGCCATCCTGCACGTTCATGTCTCGCCATCCTGCACGTTCATGTCTCGCCATCCTGCACGTTCATGTCTCGCCATCATGCACGTTCATGTCTCGCCATCATGCACGTTCATGTCTCGCCATCCTGCACGTTCATGTCTCGCCATCCTGCACGTTCATGTCTCGCCATCCTGCACGTTCATGTCTCGCCATCCTGCACGTTCATGTCTCGCCATCCTGCACGTTCATGTCTCGCCATCCTGCACGTTCATGTCTCGCCATCCTGCACGTTCATGTCTCGCCATCCTGCACGTTCATGTCTCGCCATCCTGCACGTTCATGTCTCGCCATCCTGCACGTTCATGTCTCGCCATCCTGCATGTTCATGTCTGGCCATCATGCACGTTCATGTCTCGCCATCCTGCACGTTCGTTCATGTCTGGCCATCATGCACGTTCATGTCTCGCCATCCTGCACGTTCATGTCTTGCCATCCCGTCCACACCACAATGCCGATGCCATCCTCGCTGCCCATGCATGCTCTCACCACGTTGCATCTCCCGTCCACTCCTTCCCATCTGCCATGTGCCATGCACCCCACCAGCCACGAGGCATGGAGCGCCATCCACAATGCATCGCAGCACGACTACCGGTGGAGCAGCGGCATGACGCCCATGGGCCCCTTCTCACGCCACCTCACTCTCACCACCACCATGCGCGACACGGCGCTGCGCAACGTGGTGCTCTCCACGCTCAACTCCACCATCTCCAGCATGCTCCACCTCCTCTCCGCGCTCCAGGTGCCCTGCTTCTCTTCCCTTCTCCCCACGCCCTCTCCCCTTGCATTCTTCCCTCTCCTTCTCCCCCGCCCCTCTCCCTCTCCCGTCACCTTCTCATCTCCCCGTCTCCCCTCCTTTTCCCCCCTCCCAGTCTCCCTCCCCTTACCATCTTCCCTCGCCATGTGTTCTGCTCGGCACTCCTTGCCCCCCAAGCCGCGCCTCAACCCAAAGCGTCACTGCCCTCCTCCTTCTGTGCCGTGCCTGACCGCCTTCTCATTCCGCTCCCCTCCCCTCCCATGTCCCCCCCACCACCCCTGTACCACCAGAGGTACGGGTCGGAGGAGGCGGCGCTGAAGCCGGGCGCGGTGAGGCAGCGCTTTGAGCAGCGCTGGGGGGTGCTGCGCCACAAGCTGCAGCGCGCCGCGGCGGCCCTGTCCGCAGTGGACATGCACTTGGCGGGGTACTATGCGCGGTCGGCGCGGCATGACATGGACGCGCTGTTTGAGCTGGCGGGGCAGTCCGCACAGGACATGCACACCTCCTTCTCCTGCTTCCAGGTCCGCCCTCTTCCCCTACCTCTCACCTCCCTTCCCCTCCCTCTTACCATGCCATGGCATTCCATCCATTGCTCCCGTGCAAACCCCACATGTCATCGGTGTCCCTCCCTGTGTGCCTCTCGCCTCACCCCTCCCTGTGTGCCTTTCGCCTCACCCCTCCCTGTGTGCCTCTCGCCTCACCCCTCCCTTTGTGCCTCTCGCCTCACCCCTCCCTGTGTGCCTCTCGCCTCACCCCTCCCTGTGTGCCTCTCGCCTCACCCCTCCCTGTGTGCCTCTCGCCTCACCCCTCCCTGTGTGCCTCTCGCCTCACCCCTCCCTGTGTGCCTCTCGCCTCACCCCTCCCTGCTGTGTGTTACCCGTGCCGCCAGGAGGCGCCAGTGGCGTGGTCGGTGTGGGGCGGGGGGGCGGTGCTGGCATATCTGGCATTCCTTGTCGGCCGCAACCGCTGGCGAGTCTGGCACGTCAAACACAAACGCTTCTAGCCACTTCCTGCCATGTGACCTGCTCACGCCTCAAATTAATCAGGTGAAATGCCTTGAGTGTAAAACTCGGCTTGGCCGACAATATGAAGCTGTATTCTTACCATGATTTAAAATGTGCAGCAGTCTGTCTAGCCTCTACACCCTATTTATCTGAAAAGCATCTTACCTGTAAGGAATTTTCCATTCGTTCTCACTGTAACGCTTATATCAAATACTCGGAATTGCGACCCGTGATGGCTGGCATCTGCTGCGATCAGAAGTTGATCGTAGCCCAGGATCTACTCTGGTAGGTTCGCACGCAGTGAGGTAGTGTTAGTGGGCCCTTGACCTCAATAGCAGAGTGAATGTAAAATGCTTGAGATAATAAAAACATGCAAATACAGCGATATAAATATGAGTACAAGGGAATTCGAAACGACCTAACTAGCCATGTACTCTAAGGGGTACATTCCCTTATTCAAATGCATTCCAACCGTTCGGCGCATACAGTTTCGTAACTGTTCCCGCCAAAACCATCCTGCCTGCAGCTGTCCGATGCCGTTTGCTTCCGACGGTTCAGATGTGCTGTAACCGTCCGACTCTTTGACTCAATTCCAACCGTCTGACGCTTGCGTTCGTTCCCGATATTGTGCGTACCTTGCTACGGTGAGGAGTGCTTAGTAATATCGAATATTACTATTCGTAACAGCATCGAAGCACATTCCTTGATTTCGTTGTGGGTCTGCCACTTGTCACATCTACCCTTCGTTCTCGCAATTAAGCCTCGCCTGCCCCGCATGCCATGCTGCTCGCCTTGTCTGAGTGTGCTTGCTTTCCCGCTCGCTTGTCCCCCGTCACAAAGAAATTGGCCCACCACAGGGGCCACAATCGTACCTATGCCCGGGTCTGCTAGGGGGAGCCATATCAGACGTATGCCACAGCAATCCCAAAGCAATGTCAGCGTGTGGGCCGCATTTTACAATGCATTGTATGTTGGTGTAGTTGAAGCGGAGGCCTTGGTTTAGGGTGTATTACGTAATATGATTATATAATACATATAGGGCATTTGCATTGGTACGATTGTGCCCACACGTCAAACACAAGTGCTGCCAGCACACTACTACTAATAAAGGACCTGCCAAGGCATTGGCAGGATCTATCATAATAGGAAATACACGAGACGTCACACCGAGGAGAAGCAAACGAGCTGCAGTTTCACGAGTGGCATAGGATCTGGGCTGCGCACCGTTGTGAGCTGCATACGTCCGGCCTGGCCACTGCTGTGGTGATTGTGGGCGCACCCCCCATTGTGATTCCGTTCTAGGGGATTTCCTGGTTCACCAAATATGCCCACTTGTTCAGGAACCAGGTGTCCTTCTGCTCGAATGAAGGGACGCAGTGGACAGCTCGCTGGAGCCGGTCGATGGGGACGACAGTCAGCCCCCGAAACAGGGAGGGCGGCTCAAGCACCTAGCAGCCCGTGCACTCATCGAGCCCCTATTGGTTCAGCCGCTGCAGCACAGCCACCTCTGCAGGCTCGTAGCTGCTATCGTCCAGCGGCCTCTCTGCATCCAACAGCAGGATCAGACGCCCGTACGCGGTACGGCCAGCAGAAGACAGGTACTCCACGCAGGAGAAGGCCGTGTGGCCGTGCAGCGATGCCGCGGCACGGACGTAGTGGGGCCGGATGTGCCCGTAATCGGTGGGGAATGCCGGCACCGCAACCGCCGTGTGTGCCTGTTGTGTTTGGGGGCACATGAGCAAGCAGGAGCAACAGCTTGCGGGCGGGTAAAGAGGGTGGGGGGGGGAGGGGTTGCTGCTGGCGGGACCGTAATGAGGAGTTGAGGATCGGGCTTGCTACAAACGTGCACGGGGGTTGTGCTGGAAGGATTGGTACTTTGTGTGAACAGCGCACAGCCCATGCGTGCGTTGCGTGTATGGGGGGGGGCACGTACCCCCGCCGGAAACGGCCGCAGGCCGGCGTTGCGCATCACGGTGTCGTAGTGGAACAGGAGCCCCCCCACGGGGATGTTGACATCGTCGAAGACGGACGCCGCGCTGCTCTCGTGGTCAGGCCGCGCAGTGAGGGACCTCCGCGCGAGCGTCAGCTGGGGGGTGTCCGTTGCGATCGCCTGTGTAGGGTTGCAACAGCGCATAGGGACAGCCCATGGCGGTTAGTCACCGAGATCAACGTGGCGCACTGAGTGACCAATACTAGCGTAACTCACTTGGGTCAGCGCGGTCTGGTTGCGCCTGCGTGCTGGCAGAGCGGAGGTCAGCTGCCCCATCGCCGAAGCGCGCACGTTGTGTGCGGCGATGGCCTGCAGAGGCTGGCGGTGGTTCGAGGTCCTGTACGGCAGCTTGCACGTGCGGATGTGGGCGTTCTCGTACACGGCCGCAGAGAACTCAGGTGGGAGTCCACCTCTCCTGACTCCGTTAGGCACGTGCGTGAGGAGGTGGACCTTTATCAGGTTCCACCCGTCCCCCTCGCGTGGGAACACATCCTCGACCGTCTGAATCATCCTGCATACACAAGCACCCTCACGTCAGAATGACCTGCGTCCTACGGCATCCGAGGCAAGCGGGACAGCAAGGGTTCACCTCTTTGTGGCTTCTTCAAAGTCCCCGAGGGACGTATCCGAGTGACATGGAGCTCTCACGTGGGTCTCGTGCCACTAGAGCACTGTGACCAGCGCCAGCCTGGACACGACGTCCGCCTCGCCCTCGATCGCAAACGGCGCAAGTTGTGAGGGTGCGGGGGGAAAGGTCAGACCCGCATAACACGCGTCAACATGGACCGCCCAACTGGTGAGCGAGCCGTAACAGCATGTGGTGAGTTTAGACTCACCATCATCGCTGACGCATGCTCGCTGGCTGTGAAGTTGGCGCCGCTTGCCCAGTAGCTGCCAGACCCTGGAGAGCGAAGGCCAGCAAGGCGAGCGTCGGGGTACATCTTCTTCATGCGCCTGCCATGGTATCGTCCCCACCGAAAGCACTCACCGGTTGTTAGTAACAAAACTGAGATTGACAGGGCTTCGAAAGCCTGTTCCCCCAGGCTACTTACTCATCCTTGCGCCTGGTGCTCATGGCGGTGCCACGCAAGACGCTTCGAATGTACAGCCAGAAGCCGATGTAGATCGCGTGCAGAATGTCGGGCATCTGAGAGAGGTACGTGTTGCCCCACACGGTGCGACTGAAGTTGAAATCCCACAGGAAGCTCTGGCACGTATATACAGGGTTGGGGATTAGGCGGACATCCTAAAATCCAAACCCAGTATTGGGTGAACACCGTGATGCAAGAAACACAATACACGCAGGGCCGAAGGCGAAGCTTGAGTTACCGGGATAGGCCAGGTCGAGTGCTTCTTCGCATCGTTGAGGTCGCGCAGCAGAGCTTCTTGATCGCGCACGGTTCGGGTCTGGGCTGGTTCGCGGTCCATGTCGCGAAGATCGTCCCGGGCCACGCAGCACAGTGAGCAGGGCATCGCAGAGCCGAGCTGTTGCGTGCACGAGACCTTGCAGGTCTCGGGATAGTCGGCCACGTAAGAGAACAGCAAGGGTAGGAAGAAGCGTTCCTCTCCGGTCGGGTCCTTGGCTGACAGTCCACTGCACAGAAAGGTGGGGGAACGTCACTCAAGTACGAAACACACTCTCTCAGAGCCGCATGCAGGGTCTTGGGGGGCTAGCGGTCCTCAAAGTACGGAAATTTACTTACACATGGCTGGCGACAACGAGGTCTGCGAGCACGATTTTCATGGCAGCCTGGAACAGCTCCACCTTCTGCGCGGGAGTCATGGTGGCCGGGGGAAAAGGGAGCATAGCCAGAAGAAGCTTCCCGCAGTCCATCCACCGCCTCCGAAGCGGGATGTTTGCGATGGATAGGTACACCGCCCACACTCTCGTGCGCTCATTGCCGCTCAGAATGGTGGCGTCGCTGGAGATGATGAGAGGAACAACCACAGCGCCGGCTCAATACTCTAACTCGGCCGCCACTTGAGCGTGCTCCTAGAAATATGCGGTTTCGAGCGTTGTGTAGACCCGCCTGGCCGCACTGTTCACCTGTCGCGGTCGCAGCACGAACCCTTCCGCGTTCTACGAGTTCCCGAGAATCTCGATCAACGCCTACGAGCATCCACCATCGCCGTCAGCGCATCAGCGGTGCAACTAGACAGCAGCAAACCTCGTGTTGCCTGCCACTCTATGGCGGCCGGCCACATGAAAGCTTACCTCTCTTCCGTTTGCACGTATCACTTGGAACTCGCCTTCCCACCCAGGAATGGTGAACGTGATGGTGTCGTACTGGCGTTGCGACATGAGCAGGGACATGCCGAACCGTATGACCGCATAGAGAGTGCACCAGTGCCGAATCAGCTCCAGGTCGAGACGCTCGTCTCGCAGCAGGTTGAGGAGCCACACCGTACTTTCGTTGGAAAGTCCAGCACCGTTGTTGCAGCCCACGATGAAGCGAAACACCTCCATGAGGGTGTCGAAGTTCTCACAGGGACGGAACGTGCCCTCCGGAGCACTGTCGTTGTCATCAAGTACCGCGGCGGCGTCCCCTTCTTCGTTCGATGAAGCATTTTCCTCTTCGTCCGACTCGACGTCCTCGTCGTCCGTGTCCTGAAAACAAGGACATAGATGGAGATAAATCCTGGGTACAAACGCCAATACTTAACAGCATGCATGCGCAGACACGGTATGCGCTAACCTGAGCCGTGTCATCATCCCGCACCTCGACCTCGTCGTCTGAGTTAAGCTCGGGCATCTCATCGTCAGTGAGCTGCGTAGGGTCTGGGTCGCCGGCCGCACCACCGGCAGCCGCGCCATAGCCAGCAGTTGACGTCAGGAATCGCGAGGCACGGATGATGCAGGCCTCCTTCCGACGCTTATGAGAAAACAAGGCATTGCGAGCTCGGAAGCGACGCCTACACCACTCGCAGGAGTACAAGGCAGATAGCCGGGGCATTTGAAACCCTAGCTGGTTGGTAGCATGCCGATACCGAGGGTGTTGTTGGAGAGTATGTGCCCTTGGCGAGACAGAACCATGTTCTTTTAACGTGTGCATAACCAGGTTTAATATATTTGTGATGTCTAGCACTGGATGGCTGTGATACGGCTGGTACGATCGAAGCGGAGTGTAACAATGATCTTACGCCGATGTTATCGAAACGAATCACAAGCGTGTGCCAATCTCGCGAGGTATTTCCAACAGGGACGGGGGGCCGTACTCTGTTGGATTCCACAAGGCGACATGACAGCGATTGGTCGTAATCGGGATGATGCGGATCTCCCCACCTCACGCCAGCTAATGGGTGCGTCACAATGACACGGATAGCATGGCCAAACAGGCTGACTTGGATAGGGGTGTGAGCGAGGGTTGCGAATAACGCAGTTCGCAAGCCGTTACTATGCTCGTGCTTCCTCGTGCGTTTCGCACTCTCGCCAAACATCCAAGCCGCAATGTCACCAAGTCATGGGCTTCGCATTCTTCACCAAATCTTTCAATGTCTCCCAAATTCCCCTATCACTCGCAGAAATTGACACTCTCAACATGGCGTCCGAGATTCCTAAACGCCCCGACACTGGAACACGTGGTTGGCGCTGCGCGCGGGATGGTTGCCGGCGATACGAATCAACCAGATATGCCGGTCCCAGTTGGCCTAGAGAGCGGAACTGTCTCACCCGCCCGCCTTCTGTGTTAGTCCTTGTTCGGGACTTCCCGGATATTGTTGCGGTTCTGATGCAGGCAGAATACACGCGCATCATTGACAACGGTGACGTGCCGTCGCCGCGTAAGCTCGTGAACTGCGTCATGCATCTGGTGCCGTCCCGTCATACCCGCGCTCCTACTCAGAGGGGAGAAGCCAGAGAGGCTCTGCGGGCTGCAAGGGGCGGCGGCCGCGGCGTTGAGCTGTCATTCATCGACACGGCATGTATATGCGCCGTGTTGCGCGACGCTCGGGACACGGCAAACATCCACGCGCAAGCGGATGCGTTCCTGAGAGTGATTCGCCGCGGTCACAGGAGGGTTAATTACAATGCAACAAGCCTGCACGATCTGGAGGCGGCAAGGCCTCCTGTGCATGATTATCAAACCTATCTCATGCACTTCACTATGAGCGAAGGGTGGGTGGTGCGTATCACATCACGCCCTTTAAAGCACCATATGATGATCGCGCCTGACTCACCCTTTTGCCACTATGCGCAGCTCGAGCATGGACAGTACAACTTCTATCGCGCAGAGGACGCGAGGCGCGTCTACAGCGATTTCAAGATAAAGCAGCCAAAGCTATACCAATTCCGTCAGTTCTCGCATGTGGGCGGCTCGGACGGCATTGGCGCAGGCATTTCAGCACACGCACTCGGCATGCTTGCTTGGTGGGAGATTCCCGCCGGAGATAGGTTGTTATGGGGGGGGAACATGGGGAAGAACATGTGCGTGTACCCGTGGGACAGGCCGGCCGATGCTACAGAGCTGCCCTTTTATCGGCTAGTGTGTCAGGACTACGATCTGAATCGTCCTGATGACTTACTGCCGGACTTTTTCCTTTGACATGTGGTTGGCATAAGCCCAAATAGGGGTCTTGGATGCATGATTAATATGGATAAGAGCTGGGTGTCATGTTTATTGCTCCTACAAGTCATATAATTTCTCGGACATGGCGTTCCCACATGCAGAGCTAAACGCTCGAGGGTTTAGCCTCGGCGGCACTACACGGGAAACAGCAGACACGACAATGTTCGCCTATTCCGCTAAGCCGTGGAACCGCACCTTCCCGATAGGGTCTGCCGGATTGGCTGTTGAACCGACCAAGTAGCCGAGCGGTGAGTTGTGGCCCCTGTTGACGCGTCCAAAAAGGGATGCATCACACGCGTGTGTGCGTCGCGCTGTGTTTTCCCGCGCGATCTCCTAACCACCGTGGTGACGCATCTGGGTGACATCGCTGCGTCTGCACGCAGGCAACTATCCGCGCTGTCACAGATATTCTCACCTGGCGTCAATAATGTGTCAACCATTATATATATGTTGTGTTAGTTTAGGCTACAGTGGGTTAGCCTATAGGGGGTACACAATTCTAGGGTTAGGTACTTGTACTCATTTCACTGCTAGTTCATTCATTCCTGTTCAGTTATTCCAACATGGTATAGAGCAGGTCCTTCCTAGGACCGAAATTTTCAAAGGGCCCACCACTACGTAACTACCTACCTACCTACCTACCAGTGCCCTAGGGCGCCTCGACGTGTCACGCTCCTAGAGGCCCCTCTTGACGGCCCCGCGCTAGCCCCGTTCAGGCCCCGTTGGCCCCACGCCCACTCTCCCTAGCGGCCCCGTTCAGGCCCCGTCGGCCCCTTTAAGGCCCCGTTCAGGCCCCGCGCTAGCCCCGTTCAGGCCCCGCCGGCCCCGCGCTAGCCTCTCTCAGGCCCCGTCGGCCCGCGCTAGCCCCGTTTCAGGCCTCGTCGGCCCGCGCTAGCCCCGTTTCAGGCCTCGTCGGCCCGCGCTAGCCTCGTCTTAGGCCCCGTCGCCCCGCGCTAGCCCCTCTCAGGCCCCGTCGGCCCGCGCTAGCCCCGTTTCAGGCCCCGTCGGCCCCGCGCTAGCCCCTCTCAGGCCCCGTCGGCCCGCGCTAGCCCCGTTTCAGGCCCCGTCGGCCCCGCGCTAGCCCCTCTCAGGCCCCGTCGGCCCCGCGCTAGCCCCTCTCAGGCCCCGATCGGGCCCGCGCTAGCCCTGTTTCAGGCCCCGTCGGCTCCGTCCCAGGCCACGTCGGCCCCGCGCTAGTCCCGTTCAGGCCCCGTCAAGGCCCCGGTTGGCCCCGCGCTAGCCCCGCTCAGGCCCCGATCGGCCCCGTGCCCACCACCTAGAGGCCCCGGGCGGCCCGTTCCCGCCGCAGCACACGAGGGAGACCGGGCGGCCCGTCCCCGCCGTGACCCGAGCCGCCCGCCCCGAGCCGAGCCGCGCGCCCCGAGCCGAGCCGCGCGCCCTGAACCGAGCCGCGCCACCCAGCCGAGCCGCGACCCGACCTGAACCGAGCCGCGTCGCCCTGCCCTACCTGGTTCGTCCTACCTGCTTCTGCTACTGCTACTGCTTCTGCTACTGCTACTGTTACTGCTATTGCTGCTATTCTACTGTTCCTATGGCTAGCCCACAGGTTCTCGTGTTCGATGCTGAGGGCCGCCCTGTGAAGTTTGACACCTGGCTCGATGACCTGCACCTCTACCTACAGCTCACAGCCAAGGATGACATCTCACTGTACGATCACGCCCTAGGTCATGTCACTGCCCCTGCTGCTACTGCTGACAGCACTGCTCGCTCACAGTAGCAGACTCGTGATGCCCACGCTCGCTTCGCCATTCGCAACTCCCTGCTGATAGACGAACGCGAGCACTTTGGCCAGCACAAGACTGCACAGGCACTGTACACAGCTGTAGTTGCTCGCTACTCCTCACCTGCCTCTGCCGCACTAGGCCGTCTCTCCCTCCCCTACTTGTTTCCCGACCTGGCCTCTTTTCACACAGTCGCTGACCTCATCACGCACCTCCGCACTAGTGAGGCCCGCTTCCGTGCCGCCATGCCTGCTGAGTTCCTTACCACGCACTCCCCTCCACTCTGGCTCACTCTCTACCACCTTGTCACCCGCCTCCCTGACACACTGCGTGCTGTCAGGGACCACTTCCTAGCTCGTTGCCCCACTAAGCTCACCATTGCCCTCCTCGAGAAGGAGCTCCTTGCAGCTGAGACTAGCATAGTCGCTGTAGGTGCCTCTCGTGGCGACCCCCGTACCCCGTTCTTTGAGGGGTGTTCTCCTTCCCCCCTTCTTCCCTCTGTTGCCTCTGCTGCTGCTGTCGACCTTCTCGGTGCTGAGAAGGTCGGCGCTGCGTCTGCCTCGAGCGGGCGCCGCAGCGGCAAGGGCAAGGGGGGCAAGGGTGGTAGCAGTGACGGCGGGGGAGGCGGCGGTGGGGGCGGTGGAGGCAGTGGGGGTGGTGGCTCGGCTGGAGGGGCGAGTGGTAGCGGTGGGGGTGGTGGCGGCGGCGGCGGGGGAGGTGGCAGGAGTGGAGGCGGCGGTTGGGGTGGCGGTGGACGAGGCGGCGGCAGGGGTTGGGGTGGTCGAGGAGGTGGCAGCGGTGGTGGTGGCCGTGGAGGCACTCGCGGTGGCCAGGGCCAGCAGCACACTCCATCGCCCCAGGAGGTCCGTGAGTGGTACTCTCAGCACGGGGGTGGGGGTGGTCTTAGCTGCACGTACGTCATTCGCACTGGTGACCGCACTGGCCAGCCGTGTGGACGACCGCACGCCACACAGCGCTGCTTCTCTCGTCTCGACGACGCTTGGGGTGTTCAGTTCCCTCAGGCCACTAAGCTGCCCCACTGGCTTGATCTCCTGAAGATTGGGATTGATATCTATGCTCTAGACTTTGATGCTATTCTATCTTCCATGTATGTGATGTCTACTAGTGGAGAGGGTGCCGAGTACTTGTGTGTGCCGCCCGACCCGGGCATTAGGGCCATTGCGTCTGCAGCTCCAGGTACTCGCGTGTCGGCTACCCCAGGTGCTGGTGAGGCTGCTGCTCTAGGTGCTCGTGTGTCTCCCCCCCCTGGTACTGCGTCGACTGCCGCACTGCACACCTTCACACTGGACTCAGGTGCTTCTCGCTGCTTCTTTCGTGACCGCACTGCCCTTGAGCCGCTTGCTCGGCCAGTTGCTGTCTCGCTTGCTGACCCCTCTGGGGGTCCGGTCATTGCGACCTCTTCCACTGTCCTTCCCTGCCCTGCGGTCCCGTCGGGCACACTCTCAGGTCTCCACCTCCCCTCGTTCTCTATGAACTTGGTGGCAGGATGTGCTCTCCAGGACGGGGGTGTTCACCAGTTCACCCCTGCCTACGAGCGCGTGACACACTGCACGTGTGCTCGTACGGGCCGTCACTTGGCTACCTTCACTCGGCAGCCGGGGTCGGACCTGTACACACTGACTACTG